GAATCGGTATGTTGGTATATGTTAATCTTATGAAGCGGTATGTTGGTATATGTTAATCTTATGAATCGGAATATGTTGGTATATGTTAATCTTATGAATCGGAATATGTTGGTATATGTTAATCTTATGAATCGGTATGTTGGTATATGTTAATCTTATGAATCGGTATGTTGGTATATGTTAATCTTATGAATCGGTATGTTGGTATATGTTAATCTGATGAATCGGTATATGTTAATCTTATGAATCGGAATATGTTGGTATATCTTAATCTTATGAATCGGTATGTTGGTATATGTTAATCTTATGAAGTGGTATGTTGGTATACATTTTGTATGTGAATATTCTGGATCATTGTAAATTATTACAACTGAGATGGCACAGTTGAAAGGCAATCGCTTTTTACCTAGCCGTCCGGGTTTCAATTCCCGGAACGGACGTGAAAAAGTAAGGGTTCAACATCAAATTCACGTTGGCTTTCCCCAGTTTTCTTCAACAATAAGAACCATCGCCATCCGGGCCAACAAGAGAGATTAGCATAAGTTGAAATAACTTGGTTGGCAACTGTTGTAAAATAAAGTTTATATACTGAAAGGATAAAGAGGCGGTACTTTTTTATTGTAAAAGTATTTTGAATTGAATATACAAAGCCGTATAAAAAGTAAGTGAAATATTAGGTCACCTTACCTAATCCCCCATTAAATGTTTAAAATCCGTCATTCGTGACAAAACACTACATCCGGTGCGCCTATCTTGCCAATACATAATGACTGTACATGCGTTCTTTTCCATTCATACTGGTCTCGATTTCACCACGAAGCATAATCGTCAATACATTTTCAGTCAATAATTGGTTTTACAAATACGTCTAGGCTATCCTAACTTGATAGAGGGAGGGCTCTCGCAATACCCAAGGTAGGTCGCTACTCACATTGAAATTCACGAAAATACCTGTAAAGTCAACGCAACGGAAAGAGTTCATGGCAGACCGTGACGCCCACGTGTAACGATGTCACGTTTGGTTTACTAGGCTTGCCACATCACGATGTTGAAGTTGTGCAATACTTTACGATGTCGTCGATGAAGCACATTAGTAGAAGGCTACCTTTGCTGAATCATTTCTTATTATTAAGCAATTATCCTGCATATGTATCAAACACTTTGTTACTAATCAAAATGAAACGTGTTTACCTTCTGCAATTTTGGTAACACACAACGCACAAAAAAAAAATTGTGCGCACACCAGCACGACTCCGTATCATGTGATAGGATCACATGTTTTGTGCTCTTTGGTAAAAAATATTACGGATTGAAAATTAAACAGAAAAAATATAACAGCAATCACTTGAACATCGAAATTGATCGGTGATTGAAAAGTCTTCTTTATTTCGCCAGTTTCCGAAATAACACTGGACCTGCATAAATTATTCTTATGGTATTTTGTTTCACACCCCAGAATGTGGCGAGCAGTTGTTTCTCCGACAACAAAAGTTTACTTGTGTACGGGTATATACGGACAGGTCCGGATCCGTATTCAACACTTGAGATTTACCTGAAGATATATATTTTGTTAGTAATACATAAGCAACTAAGATAAAATTTCTTTTCTGACGCTATACGATTTTAAATGATTAATTACTGTAAAGAGAAGTTCATTTATTATTTACATAGATATTGTACATGTATATATAATGCATGTCCGTACACTAAGGCTGTTCACGTGTGGCTCTTTGTAAACAAAACAATTAAAGTTACGAGTGTATCTTACTATTCAGCGTGTATCTGATATATTCACAAGTTTCCAAATTTTGAATGTTTGACAGATCCAACGTATTCATATCAGGAATTGGGTTAGTGTCACTATTGGAAACAAAATCGGACGTATACCGTAAGTTGTTTCTTGTTCCTATGAGATCACATCCGATGACACATGTTTCAATATTCAATTTAAGATATATCGGAAGCGATATCACCAATTTAACGAATGAAGATCACTGATTTGGATTGATGATATCGACCGTTCCTAATTAGGATCGGAGGACAAAAGGTAAGTCAGGATGACCTATTGCATCATCACTAATGACAAATACTATAAGTTCAGGTTACCAGTGTACAAAGAGGGGGAACCCGAACAAACTTTTAACTTTGATGTAGGTCACAGTGACCTACTTTTGGTACATGAAACGCTGCCTCACCTAAGTCGACCACTATCAAGTTAATGTGTCTTATGCTATGAGATATAAAAGCCCGGACAGCGTACACAATACACCCCCTATCCAAGAAAGGACTAAACAAAAAGAAAACCAAAAACATAAATAACGATAACTCTTAACCAGTAAATTGCCCTTGGTACTAGCCTCTGTGTAGCAGCATACCGGGATGATCGATTTTTGTCTATTTTCAAGGTCAAGATTCTCAAACTTTCAAGATACAAGATATCCATGATGCTGATTGCATGGACCTACTTTTAAGGTCAACTAGATCAAATATATTTGAACTGTTAAATGACTTCTCAAAGACAAAGTGCAAGATTCTAATGTTTGGTACGTTACGTAATCGGGCGAAGGACTTCCGTTTTTGGTCAAATGAACACCTCTACCCATCTCCATTGTCACATAAGGTAATTGTGTTAAAATTAAGATCTCAAAAGGCCATGGTACTAATGTTTGGCCTGTAGCATGATACGTTTTTTTTTCAAATATGTAAGAGGAATGCATTAGTTAAGGGCCAACGTGTTTTTCTTCACATCAATGATCTTGAATAGATTTTAAGGGCATTGAATCAAATGTGCCATTAGCGAATAGACCATGTTTCATTTTGTTCAAGAGGTAGAATTCTTAGGAAACTAGCTCTTAATTTCAGAAATGTCTTTTAATTCAAATATCCTCTGTTCCTTCTCCAATCTGGATGGTTTCATTTAAAATAATATATCAAAATTCCATCGGTAATTTGTTATAGCTTGCTGGACTTTCCGATAAAGACCGGTGAATAGCTAAACCGAAGTATATTTTTTTTTGAGTAAAGAACAAAACTCTATGTTACTTGTATTTTATACAAAACAATTTGACTGCAATTTAATGACGTTTGGAATGAAAGAGATAAACAATTTACAGAAAGTAACAATGTTCTCGGAAAATTGACAAGGAAAACCAATTGAATAACACACTCTACTAATACCTAGAGTTAGTGGAGATATGTCATTCAACTTGATATTTAATAGTCAAACCCACAGCCTGACATTTTGCCAAACGTTTATCTATCCACATCTGTTTTTGAAGATATTTTCCACATCTCATCTTTCTTACCTCAAAAATGTGCTAAGTGTAAATGATTGTGATGAATAAGAAAGGTGATAATGATGACATATGACTTTATTATGATGATGAGGAGGAGGAGGAGGAGGAGAGGAGGAGGAGGAGGAGAAGGAAATAATTATGGTTTTTAACCAATCACCACATTATATACCATCAAGTAATTCGCTCCCCAATTTGGATTGTTACATATGTTATTGTGAGAAATTGGAAAGAAACCTTTCGTCGGTTTTATTGATTTAAATTGTTGTCTGTACATCGCATGGATTCTGTGACATTAAAGACGTGTTAACAAGCAGTTAATAATTAGTAAAATGAAATTTAAAAAATGATAGATGGTTATGATAAAGCAGCATTTGTGCCACGATTTGCTTTTTCACAATCTAGTATTCCCAATATCTTGCATCAGAGTGAAAACAATACAATTATATTATTTGAGCACAGTAGTATCAATGTGTTACTAAGCCCTTGTAAAACGAACTGACATTTGGAATAAATAATTATTTGTAGTACATAGGTATATATCTTTTACAATATCGAGTTTTTGTTAGGTAGCCGGCATCTAAGTGCTGCATTTTCAGCTGCATTGGTCACCGAGACCTCATGATTTTCTTTTGAACAATGACTATTTAGATACTGAAAGTCGTTAAATCTTTATTGTAATTTCAAAAGGGAATAATGTAAATCCCCATATAAAATTTGGTGATAATTTGGTGGTAACTGATGAAGTGAAGAGTCTATCTTTTCGTGATTTAAAAGCAATAGAGGACTTTCAGTTGTTATGAAGGATACATTTGTGCTGACATTATTTTTAGCATTTGCTAATACAGGGGAAATGCAAATACGAAGTGATGCATTATATTTATATTCGTAATGAAACATACATTTATATTTTGGGTTTGAAGAGATCAATTTTAGCAGAAGTGCCTACAGTCATGTAAATCTATACCAACGATTATCAAACGGTGTTTACGATGTTTCATTGGCCTCATTGACTTGCAATTCTTTTTGGTTTTGAAGGCCCAAGGCATGAGTCTCAGGCATTAAATGAGGAGAGATGAGAATACCATAAATTATACTTTCGTTTACTTTGAAACCTAATTATAGAATTCGGCTGTTATGTATACATATAAGTCTTCTTGTGATTGTGCGAAACGGATGCCAGCTTGTCAGTGCTATCTCATTGAAGAACGCTACCTACGGCACTCAAGCAGTACCATTTATATACCAATATATCTCAACCAGGGCACCGAGTTCAATACATCTCTCAATTGTCCCTTTTCTATTGGACATCATCTCTAATCTTCTTGTGCATTAGTGTAACTATTTCTTTAAATGATGTTTTTATTGATGAGTGTTTTAACAGGCATTATGCGAAATGCTCACCCAATAAAGAAAGCCCTTTAACGCTGTAAATGATGCTTCGAGAACATAATTTTCTGTCCGGAATACAAAAACCGAGCACGTGTATGTGATGCAACCAAACATATCATTTACAAACATTTACTATATACAGTAAAACAATATAACACTTGCTGATTTCAAATAATTTTTATTTCAAATCTTTTTGCATGCATGATAGATTAGGACAATAATAAGAAGAGCAGAAATGTAGAGATTATTATAACTAGGGAAATATTGGATTTTTATTATAAGATTTCAGTTATTCGTGTTTCTCAAACAAGTAGTCTATTCTTCCCACGGAGTCAAATCAATGCCGGGCAAATCTTTACACGGCATTCGGTCATTTCTGGAAAAAATACAAAAAAAAACAACATTAATACCACCAATAGCAAACATATCAACAATGACTGTACTCTTAAGGGAGGAAAAATTGTCAATTATTTCTGTTCTATTCACGTGCTTTTGAGTATTCAATTTACACCAGCTAACAGTCAACATTTCTTTTAAACACATAGACATCAACCTGGCAGATAGATAAAAATTTGCTTTGAAGTATCATTAATGGATAGCAATTTTTGGTTCACAAGACAATGCGGCGAGTAACAGCTTCGCCTCCAACAAAATAGTAATATATGCTAAAACACTGCAAGTTGAACCAAGCCTCAAGCAAGAATGTCAAGTGACTAGTAGTGTAGGAAATAGAGTCAAACGCCAAAATGTAGGTCAGATTAAAGCAATATCCCATTTGCTTTGTATGAAATTCCAGTGACAAGTTGTGTAGATGAAGACAATGGTAGAGTAACGACAGAATCTCGATTCCAAGATCTAACAAAGAGATTTTTGCTAGTACGTATGTTTGATAATGTGCACTTACGGGTCAGGAACCTTAAATGCATTCTCTTGTATAGTTTCAAGGTTGTAGTGTCGACAGACCAGTCCCGAGAGCTTGACTTTCTTGATCGATTCAACTTGATCTAAAAAGATACAAAGTGTGTAGCAAGATATGTTTATGTGTATTTATATTACATATCCTTAAAATAACAGATTTTATATCAAGACGGTATCTAAGGATTATGCTTCAGATTAATAGTTATATCACGTTTAAATATCATAGTTCAACAAGTCTTATGTTACACCACAAATGAAACATGAATGAAGATAAAGAAAGCACAGAAAGAATGAGCAGACTGAAAAAAAGGAAAGGGTAGAAAAATCCAAGATGTTACATTTAGAGTAGCAAAAGCAAAAAAAAAAAAAACATAATATGTAGGAGGCCACTTTAAGTCAACTCCTACGACTGTGCGGTGGAATAGAGCAGGCCGTATTATAAGGCATTTCTGATTAAAGCCATCCTCGGCATGAAGGGGATAGTTCAAAGTAAGTGATGCGTAGTGAGATCCGAAAATGAGCCACATAATTCGGTCGCTTAAGAGTAGATATAGGTGAACAATGTTCGGTTTGTTTTCATATCGCTTAACGTTCGATTATCATGTATGCTTATTGATGAGCTCTATGTTTGGAAGGCTGCAAAATGCAATATGTTCGTACAAGCTGGATATTGCGGAATCAAAATCGACTAGAATCGTGCTACAATAAAGGTAAACGTAATGCTAGACCAGGGCAAACTATTAGCAGAAGAAAGAATGACTGAAACCTTGAACCTTGACAAAATACAGTGAAAATAATACCAGATGCTGGTCCAAAGAAATTACCCATGCACATTGGTACGGGTGTCATATGTCGACGTACCTAAACTTCATCATCTGTAATATTTGGGTAACATGTTCAAAGGTAACGTTCATTGACTAATGCTTTGAACCACCAAAAGATAAACACCTGAAACAATCTAAAATTATTCGTGTTGTTCCAGCGTGGAAATGATACGGAAGGCCAAACTCAGTGAGTGAATGATTCTACAATGACGTTTAATGGTATAATGATATTGAAGGAATCATTTAGAACTTATCTTAAACACTTATATTGCAACCCATGTTCAGTCAGCCATGCGTGTTAGATAGTTGTAAACGAAAAAATCAAAGTATAAGATTAGCGCATTATAATGTTTAGATGGTGGCATTTCGATCAATTGTGATTTCGCTCCCTATGTTTCAAAATGTATATATTTAGCATCACTGATGATCCTTAAAGGACGAAACGGCTGAATGATGCTGTTTATTTGATAGGCTATTTATATATTGTGTCTAATTTAAATTCTGTACATGTGTCTGTCTTGCCTTACAGTTCAAGCAATACAGTGCATGTCTTGACTTAACCACTATTTTTTTCGAATAGTATTGTTCTTGTTGAAATAATAGTGTTGTGTCACATGACGATATCAATTTTCCGTCATGTTGATGTGGGTACCGTGTAACATTACGAGAAATATCATAAACTAAACAACAGTCGGTAATGGAAGATGTCTTATGTATTTCACATGACACTGCAAAAGAACTTTTCTAGTTATTCAGTAACTACTGTGCTACTGTGTCCGATACAGTATATATAGTATCTTATACATTTGGTCAGGTATGACATAAGGTCTACAGGTTTCTTGAGCCGATTAGATTGAAAACTGCTGAGGCTTAACAAAAATCATGCTAGGCAGATAAGTGTTTAGAGTATGTTCGGCCATTTTTTCCCTTGACATAAATTGACCTGTGTGGTTGTCTGTCAGAGGCTATGTGAAGAAAAAACGTACGAAAGTTGTGTGGATAAATCAAATAAACAGGGATGTGTTGCCATGAGAACGTGACATAACTTGACGAAGATTTTTTGGGCTGGTATCGTCGATTAAACAGAAGATGCTAACTCTTCTTGAACATCTTGTCTTATTCTCTTTGTACTTTTTCATGATTCTCATAGCAAATCTTTATTTTGATATAATTTGAACCATTATTATGTGGTATTTTCTTGGTGTTTGTCTAGGACTCATCCATCATGCTAAGGACACCAACATCGCTGTATTGAGGTTGAAAAGTGATATCTTCCGCAACAGCTAAACATGATTATGATATACATTTTGACTCTTGAACTGGTCGTGCAATTGCAAATCAGTTATATTTAAACATTGCACTGATTTTTAAAAAAAATAAAAGAGCATTTATCAACACAGCAGTTTAATATGACATTGATATCTTGTTAATTTATTTTTCAAGCAACTATGCAATTGTCAAATTTAAGCGTAGCAAAAGTTTTGTGTTTCGATATGCCTGGTATTCGCGTTCAGTGAATAAAAAAAATCAAACTCATTATTGTAGGAACCTTGTTTAGCTGTTGGTCAACCCTACAGTGCATTCTAGATTTGCCCACTGTTTATAAAACAAAGGAAAGTATTGTTTTATGAAGACATTGACAAACTAATCAGAGTCAGTTCCATGCAATCCATATATATCATACGTATGAATTCATATACATTATAGCCATAAGTTTGCCTTCATTAACTGTTACCCGAAAATCTAGCCGTATGATCTCACACTACTATTTACAGTATGGAAACTACAGATGACTTTTTCAATGAATTCTCCAACTAATGATTGTTGACTAAGATATACATGAATTAGCGTTAACAGTACTTGCATTAGGTCAATTAAAAGGTCAGTCAGTTCGTTGTCCTATTATATGGTGGATGAGATGTTCAGAGTATTAAATTTCATTTTAATGAGTCTATGCAAGCATCTATCAGTTGTTTAAGCATTCTTCGATACATCTTCATGTGTACATGACTGATGCCAAGAGGTAAATGCCCTGACAAGATTTTCAATTTTCAAGTGGTCATAGTGCTATTAATTGCTTTATATTAATTTCCATCCTTGTAAAATTATGTTTCACGTGGTAAATACTGGAAGGCCTATTTTGAAAAAAATTCTTCAACTCCTTCACCGTAAAATGCACTCACCCGATGTAAACATTCCTCTTTTCCTTCCTGATCTGTTCGGAAAGTCAGCGTTTTCGAACCAGAAACGATCGCCATCTCTTAGCCTCGTGAATTGCCTTTCGAAGATGCAAGCGAATGTTCTTCCTAAATGGGCGTCTTCTGTATGCTTCTCCGATAATGCGCCAATAAATAGGTCAATGTCTTCCACCGATCTTTCGTAAAAAAAAAAAAAAAAAAAAAACATGCATTGAAAACATCAGTGGATGCTATATCACCAAGCAAACTTAAAATATGTCATTACTAGAACAAAACATAATGCGCTTTTTTTAATTATTACTTCACAAAATCAACAATATTAAAACTGAATGTGTAGCAATTTCTAACTTACCCGTCAGGATATGCCAGTTTTAGTGCATCCACTGTGGGAGCTAGGTGATCGGTTAGGTCTCCCCAATCTCTAATTTTCCCCAAGCCACATTCCTCATGATAAGCCGCATATCCCCCTAAGCCATGTTCTCGACCTCTCTGAATATTTATCGATACCAGATCTAGTGGAATACCCATATTGGCAAAAAGGAAGTCCAGAAAATCTTGGTTGACAAATCTGAAAGTATATTTGTCTCTATGTATAATTCATTCTTTATTCGAGGTGTTAATAAATATTTTCATATCTGATATGTAATAAACCAACATTAAGAGCATTTCTGCTGAAATAGTGTGCCTTATTATATCTTAAATGAAATATGGTTCTGAAACTGAAGAAAATCACGAAACAAATACTTTCTAAAGAGGAATATATTGCATTCAAAAACATAACAGACGGATACAACTATTGAAATTGCCAGATAATATACCTATCGCTTTCCTGTCCTGGTGCAGATACCACCCATCGCATCACCTCTTCGATACTAAGAAAAGATAAGTAGGGATCCAGAAATGCTTCCCTGTTTAGTAGAATGTCTATAATCTCAAACTTCTCGTTCATACGGCCCATGTGTGCCGTTACCAAGCTATGTCCCATGCGAAGGGCTGCAGAGGCGAAAGCGTCCAAAATAGATGCCTGTATAGTTTCATCGTATTTATAGTTGTCTTTGAAGTGTTTGTCCATTTGATCTTCTCCGATGAGGAGAGGGAGCCACTCGTTGTAAGTGACGTGTTGTAGGATTGCACCAACAATCTTCCTTGCTTCTTGGTACAACTTTTCCGGGGACCAACCACAATTCATGATCGACAACCTCGTAACGAGATCATTGTGCACTCTCAAAAACAGAATGTGGAAAACAGTCAAATGTGCGATGTCGCTTGCTCTTCTATCACCTAAGGGAAAAAAAGAAAAAATTCTAGTGAAAAGTAAACCTTAAATATACCGCTACTTCTCAGAAAACCAATTACTATCGTCATTTATCTAGTATGCATTATATGTCCGGAACAAGTGAAATTTTCGAATTCTTGGAGATCACAACACCCTTTTTATCTCACTTATTCCGATGGTCCTGTGCGTTTGTCATACTTTGAGGTCTGTCGATCGTCAACTTGTAAACCGTCCATAAAATAGCGCTCATATATTATAGGTATGTAAAGCTCTAGCAACTTAATGCTAGGACAGAATTTGGCCAAACATTAAACAAAAGGTCAATTATGGGTACATTTTGAATGTCGTTGTGTTTCAGCAGCCAAACCAAAAGTTCGCCCTTTCTATGTATATATAGAACAAGCATCTACTGATTCAATCTAAACACTAAGCAACTTCGTTCTTTCATGAACTTGAAGAAGATCAAGTGTGAGTATACTTTCGAAATTGTTGATTTTCCGGAATTTGGTCAGACTTTATGCAAAGATGTATTTCTAGGTTCCAGACTCAAAGCCTTGTCGGCGGCGGCATTAATGTATTTTATACTACTATTTCTAGTTCCTAAATCATTACTGGTCATAAATGTTGACTAAACATTGTTAGCAGCATTCTTGGGGAAGGAAGATCAATTTTGTACAATTTGTGGGTTTTTCTCTACGTTTCAGGGTCCAAAAGGGCAAATTTCAAAATCCTTATTCTTTTGTAGGAATGAAGGGATTGGATCCCAATTTGAGTTGAAGAATGCTTATCACAGACTGTGTGGTCGCCTGGCGTGGGACGGGAGGGGGCCTATATGGGGCAATCGAGTAAAAGGTTTTAAACACTTCTACTCTGTTGGAATGTCTGGATCATGCCACGAATGATCTGATGAATCCTTTGGGGATCATTCGAATAACCAGTGCGTCTCGGCTTCTAGGGGAGAATATTATTTCATTTGTTGGAATGCTTTGAGTCTTTCCCATTTGTTAAAGAATATGATACACACGTACTTACATTCCGATCAGTACGTAAAGAATGCGATTCAATTTTGTATAAAAGTGGTAGATCTGACATGCATCGGACCACCAAGTCTGTGCCCAATAGAGTAATTGTTCAGAATACATTTGTTTAAATCCCAATGAAAGTATTTTTAGAATGGTTTATATAAAATAACAATACGGTGATATGTACTACTTGAGTCTTGCTGATCCTCAGGGACTGATGGCGCGGGCACATTGGGTAAAAGCAATTCAAGTTAAAAAAAAAAAGACCTTCTCAAAATTCAGACGCGATACTGACAAATACACGTTTGCTGTTACAATTTAAGCGTGGCATTTCCGTAGCATTTTCATGGTGTTTTCTTACCGCTTTATTATTATTGTTTAGCTCTATAAAACGTTAAAACAGAGGAGTAGTGTGAAAGAAGTGTTAGATATGGTCATTTTGGTCGAGTTGGTAAGACCGTATGATGACGACGCCGGAGACTTGGAGCTCTTTACAGGAATATGTATTTTTCTTATTTTTGTAGGTTGATCTCGACGCTGTCATTCCATACGATCATTGTCCATGTGGGTTAGATATATATACTATATACATGGCCAAAGGGCGTCATAATATTTTCACCTGAAACGCGTATTACTGCACACATCTCTCACAATACAAAATTCTGATTATAAGGATCAGGGTTACAAGAGCATTTTGTGTGCAAACATTGACTTTGGTATCAAACCTGTATAAAAAGACTAATAACTTAAGGTATTGTAGACAAATGAATATATATCTTAACTTTTACAAAGCATTTCAACAATATTTCACTTGACATTCCAACATTATTTTGAGTATTCCGTATTAAGGTATACTAATTATGAAATATTAAGCAAGAAATAACGTCAAAATCATCAAAGGAAAAATCAAGCATTGGACAAGACTATTTATTTGTATGTACCAAATACAGGTACTGGAGCACAGGTTCATGTTTACGAAATACGACTGAAAACAGCGCACTAAGATAAGGATATAAATAGCATTTGTAGTACGCGCAGATATTAAGATCGATGCATAGCGACACATGAACAATTGTTATTCTGCTTAAATGAAAAGACAAAGTTTGATTTGAAGCTTTGAAATTTCTTATTTTAAGGAGAAACTTATTAATAATATAGTACACAAAATTTCGTATGATAACTGATACTGGTCTATTTGGTGTCTTATTAATTGATATTGTGAGTGTTTTTATAAGTTTTTTTTTTTTTAATGGTTAAAGTTGCATTTAAATATAATTCATATATCTGCATTGTTTCTATTTTGGAACGAATTTGTAGTGCAGTTCTTCTGTTTATTAATTAAATTACAAAATTATGCCTGTAAACTTACCGGCCTTAGGGCAGTAATACGGAATTAGATCAAAGTTTTTCACACATGCACCTTCCTCTGCATCCTCAGGAGGGTATCCTGGCAATTTCTCAATCAGTCTGCCTGTATGTAGAAACCAATCTTCATGTTTTTGTAATTATTTGAAAAAAAAATCCGAATTATTCTGTGATCTTTATCCCAATGGAAGAATTCTTATATAGCATTGACTTTCCTTTGATTCACAGATGTTCAACGTGTCAGTATAATCGTATAAAACATATTTTTATTCATTTAAATTTCAAAATGATAAAACCCATGTCAGGATATTCATATCTTTATTTTAGCTCATCTGGTCCGAATGTCATTCAGCGGACTATTTCTCCACTCTTTATACCATCATATTCTCTTTTTCCGTGAGATATTTCTTTTTGTTAAAGTTAAAAGAGATATGCGGAAGACGAAATCATAAAAAATCAAGTATTTTTTGTTTGATGGTACAAAACTGTCTTCTTGAAATTGAAAGACGAGTACACCCGGTTTTCACCAGGTATGGATAATAGATAAGGACATGATATGTGAATACATGTGTTAAATATGTTGTGTAAACCTTCATGTGACGGTGCGCATGCGTTCTGCAATATATCATGATAAGAAAGGCTGCCGAAGGATTTATATTCACATTTTGAACTGTGCTTCCTGCGAAAATCCAATGAAACTGTACAATTACCTAATACATAATAGCTAATGCTTTACCTGTTTGGTGATCCCATATTTCTTCAGCACGCTCTGTTTCGCTTCCATAAACGTTGGAAGCGTCTAGAAATGCCGAGAGTTCATTTATCTGTGCTCTTCGACCTGTAATTTAGAAGTGAAATATTTATAAATGGTTAAGGGAGCGTAGTCACAGGCATATTTCTCCCAGAATAGTCGATATGATGTAAAGAGGAATGGTCAATTTGAAGGATGGGAAGAATGAAGTCATTAAGATGTTGTTAAGAAGCAGACGCCATAATTAACAGTAGTGGAATGCAGAGTTCGTGATTTATCACAGCAACTTGAAACATTCTCGTGGTGAGTTGAGAGGAATCTGCCTTGATTGATTCAACTCGCGACCCAAGAAGAACAGATTGATCATTATGTATGTAACATTAACGGGTGAACATTTGATAGCCCCAAACATCTTGAATCAATACAGAAAGGCTTAAAGTTCTTACTGAGTGTTTTGCTATTTTTAGTTATTAAATATTTCATATTATACAATAAAAGGCCAAGAAAATGCGAACGTCGAAATGCGTTTTATGATTTATTTTAAATATACACCTTTGACTCTTGCCGCCGCGATATGAGTAGCCCAAATATGTGACATCACAAGTTCTGCAAGTTCAACGCTGTCGAAACAATCTTATAGAATAAATGATGCCTGGAAGCGTCCATCTTACTGTATGCGATTGTCTGTACACACATGCACGTGCTATCTATCTGCATCATTTCAGTACTTATTATCTGACAAATCATTTTATACTTATATCAAAGTGTCTAGCTGACCGCGATACCAAGAATAATCATCCAAAGATGGCGAAATAGAATTCCCAAGGTTGTGCCTTTCACCAAATAGTAATACGAAGTTATCAAAAAGAATTCCTGACAGACATGCAGCGATGCGTAACAGGACATAGGGGAAACAGAACAAGTGCAGCGTTTAATTCCAGGAAGTTTACTGTTGTCATGTTAAGGTGAAAGTCAGAGCTCGATCTGGGCAAAAATTGTCGATCAGGTTAAATGATGTGGATAAGATACTTACCATGATGGAATTCGTTCCAGCATTTAATATCTGGAATTTACTGATAATATCAAGGATACGTCAGTCAAGGAAACAAAATGTAACACGTTGCCAAAACAAATTCTTTCACATTTTGTTATAAAAAATGAAAGGAAACAATTTCAAATGGAAATGGATTTATTTGTAAATGCTTAAAGTTTTGATGTTTTGAGAGATAAAATCGAAAACCACTTGCTTGCCAATATAATCTGAAGGTTATATTTTCATGTCATAAAAAAGACGAAAAGATAAATATGCATTGATTATCTTGAATACCCGTATTGAAATCTTATAGTTTTGATTTATGCCAATTAAGTACAAGTATATTTTGTTGTATTGTCATTTGTTTGATTGATTGGGTATGCTTATTTTTACCTGAATAGTACATAAAATAATTGAAATTAATCATTTAAGCGGACAGAATGTGAGAGATGGTCAATCATTATGCAAGTTTTCTCCAAAGCATGTCTGATAAAGTTTATTCAATGCACTTATTCTCAATCAAAAAGGCGTCATGGAAAATGGTGCAACTTCCAATTAACTTGTGACCGTCATATATATATATAAAGAAATAAGAAAATAATGCAAATTATAAGAATATGTTTAAGATGATATGAAACATACCGAGTGGTACATAATTAAAAAGATAATTTATAACACATCAGATATAGGTCTTACGCACACGGCACAAATTGACCACTGGACTTTTTTTATCAATAATTCCAGTTCCATATCATCGGATCATCGAACAGAAGAAATGAATGTAAGCAGTTTACAGAAACGAAAATATAATCAAAATAAACAAATATGAAATAACCTCTCTTCATTGGTGCAGCCCTTAGCACTCCCTTAACACTGTCTTATTTCACCTTAAGTTCCAAATTATGTCCCCTTGCTTAAACATGCCGAAGACTACAGATAAGTTAGTAATGAAAAGTACCCGCTGTTCCATGTGAATATGTTATAAGAGTCTTATCTATAGCTATATCTAAATCACATCAAGTGGTTAAGGCCTTGGAACAACTTTATCATTAATCCTCCACCTAGGTCGAGGCCTACTTAAGACAGTCGCCAAGTCCTGTCTTGTCTGCAGTACAGTGGGATTTTTTTCTCCGAAAACACCGGCTTTCATCCACCAAGGGAACCTGGCATGTCTTAAATGACCCCGGGTGTTGATACAACATAAAGCAACGAAAAACTAGCCTACCATCAGCAGCCATGTAGTTCAAATGGTCAATTATTTTAAAGTATTATATAAACGTATTATCTTGTCCTTCGTCGTGCACGATCTGTTTCTAGGTCGAATTGCAAACCTGCGGCCATTTTAAATTTTGATTGCTATTCATTCTTGAAGTAGTGATTGTTTTCCCATGTTTCATATGTAGGTTTCCTTGTATTCAAATAGGAGGTGATCGTAGAATCAAAATGGTCAACAAGTTTTCCTTGTTTATTGACCATATCCATAATTAATTCATCTGTCAGTTCAAAATGAAAGTGAAATAGGAAAAATAGGAAAAGATCCAACTTATAAAGAATTATACTGTTTCCGGCTCAAAACGACTATTGTCAATCGGACACTTTCCATGGATGATAGGGTCACCTACGAACGTTTTCAAATCATCTTCCTGACGAACAAGGGATAGGGGAAGGCACCCTATCCGATCCCATTACATAAAGATTTAGTAGATTGATTGCTGCAATCAACAGTAATTGCTTATGGGAAAAAATGCTAGTTTGCCTCCCTGTGTTTTAGTTTTGGTGGAAACCATCAAACAGGGAGATGTACTTATAGGTGCATTATACATATTCTTTACCGCACGGTGATGGCAAGGACCTTCATCGTGAAATCGGGAGGCTCGTAGGAAATAATGTCTACATGGGAAGGTGTCATTGCCCCATATTAAACGACAGCCCACATTCCCACGTACAAATAATGACTTTATCATTCTTGCCAGTAACTCATTTTAGCTGAATTGCAAGCAAAATACATCAAGTACTCTGATACCTTGGTTTCACTCCTTCTGGAAAAAGGAAGCATGCAATTTCGAGCTTTGCCGGAAGCTCAAATGTATCGTGTTACCCCTTATGACTATGCGCTTGATATGACTGTTATCCAACTCTACTATATGATTAATATAACCGTTAAGAATTGAAACCAATAAAGGACTTCAAGTATGCTTTGCATTGTTACCTGGCTCTCCGAAATCTTCTAAGATTCCAGCTGACCGGACACATTCCATGCATGTTCGATTCGGTAAAAATGCCGTGTCATTAGCAGGAATTTCAATATCAACACACTGAGGTCTGTAAATGAAAACGAGAATCTTTAAATATACAGATTGTTCCTCGTAGTCAAAATGAAATCGGTGCTTAACCTGTCCCTTTCTTTGTTAAACCTGTTGACAGGCATACATTTAGAATTTACAATAGTGCGGAAGGTTGGCGAATGTACCTGCAGGACACGCTTATGGGTAGTTAAATTGGAATTGTAACCTCTGCCTATGTCTGTCCTTGATAATTGTAAGGTCAGTAAATTAAATAACAATGCCCCAATGATTAATGACATGAAATTACGTCTGTCCATTTGGCAAACGTCAATTCTTTACATTGCTTTACGGTCTAGTAACATATACATTTTGCTGTCAGACTCTTTTGTGAAGCCTGCCGAAGTTTGCAAACGAAATAATGATTTTGGTCTATATTCACGGTAACATGGGCCAAATTTGTTTTACAAAAATAAAACGAAGTCGACTGATTAACTTACAGGTTAAGGATCTTGTTTTGTTTCTGTTTATCCCTTAGTGATGGTCATAACACTTATTTTGATGAATGAAATGGCATAAAATCACGTTCCCGGAGATGAAGCTCGAATATTTGTGAAGAAAAGTGACTGTGACCAATCATCATCGTCGCAGAGTTTTTCCCCATTACCTCATCCATTCGGCCCTCTCCCGTGGGTAGAGGAATTACGGGAACTTAGTAAATTCGTAAAATTGTTTCCAACTAGATCTAAAGCATCCATTGATGAAGGTATCTCGATTTTCTGTATATTGTAAGTCTCACCCTCTCGAGTTTCGTTGCAAAAAATTGTTGAAAATTTTCTCGAATGAAGGCAACGCAATATGAGAAATAGAGGCAGGAGTTTGAAGAAATGATGTTTTACTTGGATGAAGATATCCTGTTTAAAAAATGTTACAAGCTGTGTAAAGAGGTACGTTTTTATATGCAACGGTTTGTACCAATATACTTCCTTACACGGGCAGAAGCTGAAAACCCACGAAGTTCTATGAGATACACTAGACAGAAAATCTTCATTTAAAAAAAATGCTTTTATCCTAGGTACACAGAATGATTAAAATCACACACATACATACCTTTGTCTTCGTTCATTTTCCGGCAATGTGCAACATTCGATTGCAGCGCCTGCATAACCTGATTAAAAACAAAAGTTAATGACTAAATATGTGAATCAAGCCATTGATCAGTTTTCAGCTTTAATGATTGCAAGGTTACCATTAACACAAAATAGCTTATTTCAGCGTTTCCAGAGCAAATCATCAAATTATTTTAAGATAACCTAATTAATATTCTATCTAACCACTACCTCTTTTCTATCTATCCTATCAACTATTACCTCTAAACATAAAGCTGAACGTATATAACATTGTTCTTTTTTTAATAAGCAATAGTTTCATTTTGTATCAACTTAACAGTAGATATATAACAATTCTAGATTAAAAATTAATGATATGACATTTTATTTGAATTAATGATTATCTGACCCCTAAGATCATGACGATATATGTCATCAAATCGCATTTATCGTATGTCGTGTATATATGTCACATTTTCGACACCTATTTTTTGTCGTATTTGGTCATCGTTTAGGCAAGGGAGATAAAATTTGGGGAAAGGATCTGGTCAGTTTTGTAGCAAAAATAAACAAATTATATGGTTGATGTTTATAAACTGTGCACAATGTGATCGGAAAACTGGAGGCAATGTTGAGTAGCTGTATTTTCACCTATAACAAAGGAAATCAAATTACGCCTAATGCAACTTCAAGTCACATTTTTTACCGCCAGTCAAAGCATATGAGAGATATTCGTAACCTTTTTAAAGATGCCCTACTCTCGAAAGCTTCAAAGAATTCAGTTTGTGCTGTTTTTAATGCTGAACTGTAACTCGGATCCATATCTTTTATCAATTTGTCCTGGATATCCGCATTATTATCTTGGTTATATTACGATTGTTGACACAGGTACATGTGAACGTTCTCCATGGAACTGAGTAACCAAGGCTATCAAGTGTATCGCAAAAATGGAATTATGTGTCTGCCTGCTTCACTCATGTTTACATATTAGATATGGTCAGTTAAAGTAACACTTTGACGTCAAATGTACCACCTGACCGGTCTCCTCTTTAATTTCTCTTAATCAGGCGAAAAAAGCCGCGATGCCTAGAAAGAGACATCGGGAAATATTTAAGAGCACACATATCAGTGGTAAAGTCACTTTGATTATGATTCAACAGAATTTAAGAAATCATGAGCAAACCCATTGTAATTTAAAAAGGAACAATTTGTATCTGAATACCACCGATCTAGTCGAGTTATCGACAATATGCACACGTTCCTGGAATGTTTATTTGTAATGAAAATTAGTTCAATCATGTTGTAATTGTTTTACGTTTTTCATAATAATATAAAGTAGGTAGAACGAGGATAGATTACTGACAAAATCAACACGCATTTGACAGATATAACGTGGTACAATGTACCTATGGCAACTGTCTTATTAACGAGAATATATTATCATTGTCAAAACTTTCGATAGTTCGTTTAGTCACCCGAGGTTGCGGGCAATGACCGACTGTTTATAAAACGAGGATTCCCCATGCAAACGATACTTCATTTCGAATTGGAACAGAATCCTTATAATAATTTCCCTTACCCATGCGGCTCCAACCCCCAGTTTTAACCAAAATGATTCCCCGTCACTCATAGAATGATTGTATCCAATGAGAGACACACTGTCGTCGGTTCGGACCAGACATCTAAGATAAAAATGAAATCAATATAAACTTACCAGCTGATAATGGTGTTTCAGTTAAGTCATGATCTATGAATTGACCCCATCCGGTAAGTGCAACTGTCCTGACGTTGTCCAGCGGAGTATTTGCTAAGTCTGGCAAGTACCTAGCCATCACGTTACTCACATATCTGGCCGATGGCAGATCATCACCATTTGCTGCCTTCCGAGGTGCGTACAAACCTTTTTTTAAAGATAGTGCAGTTATGACGAATGAAAGCAGTCTACCTTCCAAATTTGAACAAATCAACAAAAGAGTTGAATGGATTTACCTCCCTTTCCAATAAAGATAAGAATGAAGAAAGGTCAAAGTTTGTGTTCATCGTATTACTGATTTACTCGAGTTACAACACAAAATTTCACACTATCGTTCCTTGATATAGACAAGAATGTTTTCACGTACAATTCAATATCCCCAGACGTAAACAAATCGTTCATGCAGTTCAAATAGTAGTCTTAAGCCATGTATGATTGTCTTTTTTATAGATGAGTTTTTACCACACCTTGTATTACATTTTAATCCCATCTCATTATCAGTTGATCGTTTGTAGTAAGTGTATGTTTTTTAATAATATTCGGATAGACAAAGGGGTTAATTGTTTAAAAATACTGACAGCAAACCCTTGAAATGATCATTGTCAAAGGATGGTTTTATTTTATCTTTTTCGGGCATTGTCAGAGTTAGTTTTGGAATATTCAATGCTTTGAGGACATTTAGCCTACATGTATGAACTTTTTATAAACAAGGTTGTTAATCAACAGGAATTGACAGTTGTGAATTATAAATGCGCTTCTTCCGATCTAACTAGTGGTCCGGAAGGCATAATATTATTGTGGCATTACGGCCTTGTAGGCAAGTCCACATCACTTGCTCGAGCAGTTTGGGTTCAGAATAAATAATTATGCGTAATTAAAAAAACTGGTGCATTCAATTTTACCGTGTCGGTCACTAAAAGCCTCCGGTATCATTCGGACTCGTGCAGTTAAAGCCTTTCCCCAATCAAAATGGTTGAGGTTGTTGCACGATCCATCAATTGATCGGTATTCAGCATCTTGTTCCGCTGTGGTACATGTAGTTTTAGATTCATATTCTTCAAATTGTGCTCTCCATTCACTCAGAATTGCACTATAACGGTTCTTCTTTAGCAAATCGTCGAGGGGGACTCCAAGCCTATTAAAAGGAAACACTGATGAGTCAGAATGAAAAAGGAATGACGTTTTCGATATACAAGGCTTATATTTGACAAACAGCATTACTTTAAACATATCTGGGTTGATGGAAGACGACATATTTTAATTCAAACAAAGAAAGCATTACAAAACTGTCAAATAATACGGAATATATACGCATTTCGTCCTTGTAATATTCATCAGATATTTTAAGATATCAAAGAAAGGAAAGAATGCAGCAGTATTGTTGAAAAACAGTTCATTGAAATCTCAAGAATTATAATGCTGATGTGTAAAAGAAACGATAATATTCAAACCTCTAAAGCGCGACCAATTAAGATATACAAAAACATGACAATTTTATAACCCCATACATCAATGGCAATCGTTAATCTAACCAAAGCAATTTAATTTCACCTATTACTTTAAATTGAAAATGGTGACAGTATAATTACTTAATTAAATCTTAAGTAAAATGAAAAAGCACAAATACATACAAACTTTTCAATGAAAGAATGCCACATTAGTAGTGTATGCACAGGTACAAGATCCGTGTTGTTAATACACACTTACACAAATAAAGGTAAGTAACTCTATCGGCCTAATGGAACGGCCCAATTTTGAGAACATTTGGATGGTCACTAAACCGTTCGAGATATCTCGCTGATATACGAGGATAGTACATGTGGTTCATGTGTTATACAATATATGTCTTACTGGTCTAGTATATATTCCAATGCAACGAGCGCAACGGTCGTATGGTTGTCTATTTCCTCGGCATGAGTTGGAGTATAGTCCGTGTATGCTATAGCGGCTGTAGCATCCGAGCCTGCGATCTTGTCGATTCCTGAAACGAATTTGACATCATAGCGATAACATCCATCAGTACAGACAGCGCACCACGTAGTCACGTTAAGACAACAGATTATTTGATTCCTTAGGGTTCGACTGATCAAAACCAACGTTATTCGACAGATTGGTTTTTACCTCATATTGAAGGCCTCACCTTTTACTAATTCTCTAATTGCAAAACTAGAAGGATGTGACTAAATTTAGGACCTTCGTGTCCTTTCTTCATATTAAATGAAACAGGAAAACACACAAGTCAATGGCTCCTGTCAACGCAAGTTGATACATTATAGACAAAAACAAGAGGCCAAAGGGGCATGCGAAGCTCACCTAGCTTATATATCTATGCAGTCGTTTACAAAGAATTTCAATTATGACAAATAGTTTCTGAAATAATTTCGCTCTTGGATCGAAGTCTTTAATGAAAATCACTTCAGGCCAAATTTGGTAAATATCCATGTACGGTAGAAGGATTTTCAGGGAATTTCCTCTTGGACCTTGTCAGGCTAGTTGATACAAAAAAAAAGTTTTCTTGACGGAATCAAGGCATTCCCACTATTCCACTATTTGACTCCACCCAGAGGACCGAGACCAACCTTCATTTCTCCTATTGCGCCTCGCTACTGGGAGACGAGACCCGTCCTTTACACAAAATTATTTTTTATCCAAGAATGCTTCAGACCAAATTTTGGCAAAATCGAACAATCCCCACAGAAGAAGAATGAATTTGAAGAACTTGCTACATTTCCCCTTTTGGGACCCATCACTCAGTCCCCTTTTGTTTTGCCATACCCAATGAGGCATTTGACTAAATTTGGTCAAAATCAGTCAAACAATTTATGACTAGTTGCGATTTTAGTAAAGAGCTGATTAATGACGGATTGTATTAATGGATTGTAACTCGTATCAATTCGGTTAAATTAGAAATGTATCAACACATTGATATATAGCTATACAGTACGTTATCACCTGTTAATTATTACACATACAGTATAATTATTTTTAACAAAGGAATTACTCAGAGTAGAGAGGCACTTCGTATGTGATACAGATTGATGCATGTGTGTGATAAGACTTTTCATCTTGTCCAAAAGGTGTCAGTCATGGAACCTTCAGTTTTTCCATGACATGTACAAGGAGTGCAGAGAATAAATTAAATTTCCTGTAGACAAAAAAACAATAGATTTGCCTGAGAGCGAAGAAAATCCCACGTAAACATTGTGCGAAGTTTTCAAAGAAGTAACACCACTGAATACTGGCTCATCATATTTCAGTATTACAGTAATGAAGATTTCCTTTTAATGTTAATGATACGGACCTCATTCGTTTATACTGGATTCCTAAACTTCACAAGAATCCATATTTACAACGTTTTATAACTAGCTCGTCTAGCTGTTCAACAACACCTTTGTCAAAAAAACTCACTACCACTGTACCGCTATCTATAAAATATGGGTTACAGTCTTATTGTGATACTGTCTGCTCAAGAAGTGGAGTAAATAGTGTGTGAAGTTTTTAAAGACCCCAAACGAGTTTTTGACCAGTCTTCTACACCCTCTTCTAAAAACATTTCTCGATAAGAACATTTCAGTTTTCACTCTCTCCACTACAATACCCAGTTCTGAATTGTAAAACGTATTCGTTCGCTCATTATAAAACCTGTCTTCACCAATAAATGTGAACGACAGTTCAAATATATGACGCGTGTTTCGTGAAAAATACGTCCTAATCAAAGAAGAGACATACGGGGGATGAAGTCATTAAAATGATCGAGTTTCTGATCGACAACTTCTTCGACGAGTGGTAAGACCACTCTTCTACAGCCTCCTATCTCGATCTTTTCCTACAACGGAGCAAACTCTGACAGCTTTCTTCCAGGCTGTATGAGAAACGTGATGATATCAATTTCCTCATTGTAAATGTATTGCTTCTTGATAGCAATATCATCACCAACCTATATTGTTTACCTGTAGCAGTTAATGCGATATCCATGTACCCATTTTCTCGATTTTCGTACAAAAAGTCGTCCAATTACAGATAAACTCGTAACATTGGGTTTCAAAAGATGCAGCTTGATGAAAAGTATGGATCATCATGCTGATCTTATTGAGAAAAAATTAACTTTTACTGCAATATGATGACGGGTTTGTTGGTATTTTCTTGGAGGTTTTTTATTTTCTTGTTTTTGTTCATTCTTTTTTTTTTTTTTTTTTTAACCGCCGGAAATATCTTCCGTTTTAAGATGGGTCAAACACGAGCTGAATACAGCATCTATATGCGATTAAACAAACAAAAAAATGAAAACAAACAAACAAAATTAATAAATAGCCAAATCACATACCTTGGTAGTAATATTGTTGTTTTAATGCGTAGTCCTTTTCCAAAACCATTTCTCCTGAGCGTTTTCCTGTTGCTACTAAGTTGGCTGCGTCGAAGCCCATTCGCTTCTCATCTTCCAATATATCCAGGATTCGTTCAGCCAATTCAAGCTCCACCTCTCTTTCATGCGGGCTATTTGCGGCGACACTTGCAATAACGCAAGCGATTGCCACCATCAACAGGCAAATATTGATAGACATCATCCTTGATTAAAATAAAAAAAAATGTTACTAGAATAATTCAAACGTTACAGGTTGTTACACGGGAGACCTACCCGGTACTGAAGTTACAGGTTGTTTGTTACACGGGAGACCTACCCGGTACTGAAGTTACAAGTTGTTTGTCACACGATAGAACTACCCGGTACTGAAGTTACAGGTTGTTTGTTACACGGGAGACTTACCCGGTACTGAAGTTACAGGTTGTTTGTTACACGGGAGACCTACCCGGTACTGAAGTTACAGGTTGTTTGTTACACGGGAGACCTACCCGGTACTGAAGTTACAGGTTGTTTGTTACACGATAGAACTACCCGGTACTGAAGTTACAGGTTGTTTGTTACACGGGAGACCTACCCGGTACTGAAGTTACAGGTTGTTTGTTACACGGGAGACCTACCCGGTACTGAAGTTACAGGTTGTTTGTTACACGGGAGACCTAGTCAGTGCTGAAGTTACAGGTTGTTTGTTACACGGGAGACCTAGCCAGTGCTGAAGTTACAGGTTGTTTGTTACACGGGAGACTTAGGCGGTAGGAATCCGGACCTGTCACGTAAACGTATATACCCGTATATTGGTATTTTATCGTTGCCCGTGGCATACTACTCGTTATTCTCTGAAGTGTGATGGTATACATTCGGAATAATGTAGGATCTAGTGCTATTTCGAAAACTGTCGAATTGGAAATTATCTTTTATAATTACTTATCAATCTTTATAGGCATCTGATTGTTAATTAGACGCTGCTACGCAAATTTTTTTCTGTAATATTAGCCAACCATTTGCTACCAAACCACACAAATGTGCTATCCTATCACATAATTGTGCGCTACGTATAATAAAGTGCGATTGCGTAACTTAACTGATTATGCATTCATGAAATCATACTTCATTCTCCATTTCACTGGTTTGTTTTTCGTGGCGATTTATAAAAACAGTATTAGCATGTGGGAACTTCTAGGGCATGTGTGCAACTCCAGCGTATGTTTGTTCAGATGGATGTTGTAAACAGTAATTTATAATTGTTTAAGAAAGACATGACCAGTATTGTACATGTCGCAGCCCTAATAAACGTATCATTTAAAATGTTCATCCACGAGGTGAGCTCCCTTTGCCCGTAAAACACGGAGCCGCGCTACTGTTATAAATGAGCGACTTGTAGAATCTAATATCCTTCCATATCACATGATTTTACTGTTAGACAAGAGTGTGAATGTAACTTACAATGTCTCTTAGCCGTCACATTAAGAATGACAATTTTATCTTCAGCTTTAAATGTGTCCTTTGTGTTTGATATGGACTAATTAGTAAGTTCAAATTAAGATGATAGCCTACACACATAGATATTTTTATTACATTATAATATTTGTTTAGTATTCATCGGTGTTTTAACCCCATATTTTTGCCTTTGTTTTGATATAACGTCTTTAATTATCATTTATTAAATTGGATGATTTGATTAATCAGCCCCGTATACCACTCGCATCAAAATATTACATGCTTTTCAAATTCAAATATGACTGAAGACAGATAATACACTTGAGACTAGGATTTATGGTGAGGGCATCATTTTCTGTTGTTTGGTTAATAGGAATATGACCGACCTTGCAAACATACAAGGGATTGCACATAACATGCACCTTTTCAAAATTAAAGTGAGATAAAGTAGAGCTAAACAATGCATTAAAATGCAGCATACAGCTGTTTCGTCTTTCTAGGACTCCTCAGTCATGCTAAAATTCTTAAGTCTAGGAAGCGACTAAGGGCAATCCAAAGTGATCAAAAGAAATGTCAAAAGCAGCTTATAATTAGAAAAATTTAATATTTTTTTTTTTTTTACACCAGATGATATCAGAAATGCGTCAAGTACATGTGTATTTTCTTAACCGTGTCACTGTTCGAATGAATTAAAACGTGGCAAGCAGGATACGGCAAACCTCGGGGATTTGACGTTTACCAGCAGTGTCTACAACTTGCTATGTTAACGATTGTACAAAACACACCTTTCATGATTTAGATATACATTTGAAATTAGACAGAGTAGAATTAAACTTGATAATACAGCTGTCTTAACTGCAAATATTGCCTTATAACTTCGCGATGAGCTCCAGAGTAATTTTCGTAATATTTGTAATTGTCACCTACATACAACCAAACGGTCATTCGATACTGCCAAGTGAATAACAAGCGAATAACATCTTTCCAAATAAATTGAACAAGAATTTATATCAATGTTGTGCATTCCGACGTATTAACATTAGCATTAGCATAAAACTGCTGTCTCGTTTTTCTAGAATTTGTCTCTGATGTCACGGGCCTAAGTTTTTCAAGTCATTAGTACTGGCTCTAAACTAAATACTAATGCCATAAAATTACATAAAAATATGGGTGATAGATTGTATAAAAGTCAGAAGCAATGATAAATAGAAATGCTTTGAAGCAGCAATAAAAACGTTTGAACGTCCGATTATTTGAAACATTCACTTTTAAATAAACCCCAATAAATGATATAAATAATGACTTACCTGAGCACCGATGTCTTCAGACCCTGCGCCGGGATAGTCAGAGTTTTTAGCTGTCATCCATGTATTTATACTGACAAAATCTCAGATTAATCAACTATGAACATTGTAACCACGCCCTTATAGAGTCATTGGCTGCTAAGACCCCATGAGGTCACAGTTGAAAGAACTGAAGATCAAAATTCAAATCCACATACATGTTTTAGATAAACCACTAATTGCATGTTTATGCACTCTAAAATATTGATGATTACAAGAATGAAATGAGCATTTCCTTCGTTTTGCTTTATTTGGTTTTTCGTTTTTACCACAGCAAATTGACTATAACTAATAGCAATACCATAATATAATATAAATCCTCTCCGGGTTTAGATATCTCATGGACTGTTTATTTCGTCACTACATGTTACTCAGGAACAACTCTTATATTAGAAACCTCTTCGAACAGTATTTAGGACATTTAGCAAACCTAAGAACAGTTAACAAAACGTACACAAGTGAATAGAACCTTTTAATACAAATTTAGACACATTCGAGCGAAGTCATGAATCGAACTGCATCATACTCCTGCTTCGTCCTCTTACGGCTCGTTAGTAATAAGTTTTAAGACAAAGATTGTACAAAAAACACGCACGCGAATATCACCTTTTGATATGAATTTAGAGTTAGATGCAATGGAGCCAAACAATACATTAAACTGCATCATACAGCTGTTTCCTCCTTCTAGGACTTGTCAGTGATGCCAAGGTCCTAAATTCAGAAGCCTGTGTTACAATCCAGACATACTATCCAACGTGATCTAAAGAATGATCGAAATATATATTGGGCGGTGAATTAGTCCCGTAAAGTCATAGATTTCGTTGTTGGTTTTTGGGTTATATATATATGTGTGTGTGTAACTGATACTTTTGGAAGCACTTGAAATGAATTGTAAATGTACATTTTCTAAAGGTGCATCAGGGTGACTAAAACCCAACATAGTCTTCAACAAGCAAATATTGTTGTGATGCGTATTAACAATTTACATTGTTTGTTTGGTTTGTTTTTCAGCCAAGGTCATATGAAAACGTTGTCTGCATGATAGTGTTATGTACCTTGCACAGCTCCTATGGTTGATGAAATGTGAGATTCAAGGGCTGCAAATAGACGAGCTTGAAAAGGGGATCTGGTAAGTAACGTTTCCGTATCACTCTTAACGGTTGTTTTGTTTGACTTTCAATATAGTGTACGGACCCTACTGATGTTTTGGAATACCTTCACGCCCGTACCTGTGGCTGGATACTGTATGGTTATTGCAAACACCACGACACAGTTTCGCTTGTTGGATTGAATTCTGGCATTTCAGTTTTGAAATGCGTATTTATCTGGTAGAAACGTCATGAACAAGCATAATTTGATGTTGTGCATACCGACGTATCAACATAAAATTAATTTCAAATGACCACTTGCATAAATGTAGGAATCGTGTTTGTTTATGCTCGATATTTCATGTTGACAGCGTGACTCGATGTCTGCAACCGGGGGCTGTAAGTGAAAGATTTACTATGGAATAAAACGAACTAATCTACTTTTCTAGGCGGCCGTATATTTCTGTAGTGAGGGTGGGCTTAGATATAGCTAGACATTTTAAAAGGGTAAAATGACAGGTAGGTAACACGTGACTTTTAACGAATGTGTCATCGGGAGCTAAATATTAACAGTTTGTAAATAGTCAACATTTAAATATTTAAGGAAAATAAGATATAAAATGCCGATTAAAACATTTTTTCGTGGTACAGTTCAATATAAATAAACACGTGCTAGATATTTTGACGAAATCATCAAATCAAGCGTGTCTTTCTTTACAATCCCTAAAGTGTCTCCAAGATAAAATGTTGATAAAAAGTGGTATGTCATATGTCAACTTAATGAGCGAAAATATGTGGATTTTGGTGAAATTGGTATACACAAATACTAATCAAAAAATATAACCGGACTCCTTTTAGTGTTGGTAGACACTGTAGATATGTGCTATTAATACTGTATATGACCTACGAAATACACATATCTCGGTAAAACTATGGCTTCTTTCATGATCGCCTACATTAAAAAAAAATTGTACAAAACGTTAATGCCACGGACAGCCTATAAGACAAGGAATACGTTCCTAAGTGGCACAGTACCGGACAGAATAACAATACGATACAAAACGTAAGCGATATCTCTGTTCAATTTCAGAAAACATGGGTATACCATGAGGTCCCTTAAATTAAAAGCGTGAAATACATTAACGTTTCTTCAGACAGAAAAATATATTCCGTGACCCCCGGATGGTTGCAAATAAAAAATGTCGCATGACAATTTCAACTTTCATATCTAGCTGTTAATTGTCTATAGAAGTCGAAAGTCATATTCACGAATTTGTTTTAATACTATAACATTTTGATCAAGCTTGCTGTTCTGCTTTATAATGGTTTCTCACTCA